AGTAGTAGCAGTACTAGTAGTAGTAGTAGTAGTAGTAGTAGTAGTAGCAGTAGTAGTAGCAGTAGTAGTAGCAGTAGTAGTAGCAGTAGTAGTAGCAGTGGTAGTAGCGGTAGTAGCTACTAGTAGAAAAGTAGCGTATCTCTCCCCTACTAGTAGTAGCGGTAGTAGCGGTAGTAGCGGTAGGAGTCGTAGTAAGTAGTAGAGGTAGCAGTCGTAATAAGTCGTCGTCGTCGTCGTCGTCGTAGTAGTAGTAGTGGTAGTAGTAGTAGTAATAAAAATTAACATTTCTACTTACCAAGCTTGCTGTGAGCGCTGGTTAATTGAGGCATTGATTCATTGAGGTGATGTCGACCATAATTAAGGAAAAAGCGTTCGCAGGCAATGACTCCTTTGAAGATGAATCCCTTCCGCTCCAGCTCTGTCATGTAACCCTGCTTTACGTCATAGTGAGATATGTTTCTTAACTGTTCGGTGGTATTGTGTAACAGGTTGACAACATGCTAGAAACGAACACAACAAATAGGTTCTGATCTAGTCAAGTAAGTCAGGAGTTCCTAACGACGGTTTTCTCTCAATACTTTAAAACGTTTTCTCAAGTTATCTGGAGTGCATTTAAAGCTCTGCAGGTTAAAAGAAACTGAATATACCTTTAAAGAGGTGTGTTGCTGGACTTTTGTTTTGTTCAATGCAGAAATAAACTTCACCACCTAGAATGAAGATAATAAATTAGATTGGCAATCTCTCTGGTATTATCTACATTGAAATATGACCAAAAACCCCAAACAAACAGAAAACAAACAAAAGATAAAAATAATAAAAACGTGAGGAAACCTCTTATGAAATATACCTTTGTAACTCCTATGGGTCTTAAAACTCGAGCATTCAATATTTGGATTCAGTATGAGACAGGGAAGGTTACAAATGTTATTTACACGATTCCGCCAAGCCGTGTGAACTATATAAATTGCTATGAAATTTGTAAACAATGATGCCAGCCGCAGGCTCATGCTATTTTTGGTGGCAGAATACTCTGGTTTTTTAGGCTCGCTCTTCTCCGCTTTCTTGAGCCCGGGCACCTTTTCCAGAATAGTGGTTGGCCATCAAGCCCAGATAGGACTTTTGTCAATCAGAAAACGTCTTTATATTATAATTATGATATTTATAAATGATTTTTAAAATGTTGTTTCGAGTTAGTAAGCTGTTACTCTCTATATACTGTGTTAAATAACACTGAATGTTCTTCATGAAAAGAAAAGTATGAACAGTGATGCGATTTAAAAACAACGAAAAATTGGAATCTGTAAATTAAATATTTTTCTAATCTATCCATACCAATTCCTCTGTCCGAGAGATGTTTTGTGATTTAACACTGATTTCGTTTCGTGTTGAGGATGATGATGGTGGCGATGATGGTGCCAGTGATGGTGTTCCTACGGATGACAATGACGATACTAGTGTTTTTGTTATTGGTGCCGTTCTGGATGGTGTTGATGCTAAGGTCGACAATGCTTCTGATGATGGTGATAATGAAAGTTGCGAAGGTAATGATGCTGTGGTTACTGACGTTGTCACTGAAGGAAATGGTAATAGTACCACAGTAATTGGTGTTTGAGTAGAGTTTACATTTCTACGTTTGGTGATTGCTTTCTTAATTAATTAACCAATCAGAAGCTAAAGCAAAACCAGTTATGACTCCTTTGCACCCGTTTCACCTCATTTGGCACCTGTTAGCGCATTTGCTTTTAGTTTTGATTGGTTCAAAGTGATTATTTTGGTTTTAATGACACTCAGTTGAAAACGGCTTAAAATACTCCGGTGGAGTAACGATTGTGTGAAATTTCGGGAGCAGTGATTATCCTTAAACTTTCAGATTCTCGTGCGTGGGATCTGTGGAAAAATAGACTGACTAATCGTTGTCTGCATTTCGCGGGGAGCACGTTGATTTAAACGATTTTGCTTTATTTACATTACGTCACTCTCCAGTGCCATCGTATCCTCATGCTTTGTTACAGTGCACGTGGCTGCACCACATGCACTGTAACAAAGCAGATGCATTTGGCTACTCACCAGTACAAGTATAGCAGTGTTCCAAGACTGTAGTAGGCGACGCTTCAGTGGTGGCCGGGATTAAATTTTTGGTGCACTGAGGATTTCTGGCTCCACAATTCTGATCGCATTTGCTTGCGTTACTTACAAATGGGCACCACGACCGGCATCTGCCCCCATCGTTAATTTCTGTGCAATCCTGTTCACAGCTTCCTTCGCGACATTCCAGAGTACAATTCCGGTTACACTTTTGTTCACATTTTCCTCCGTGACATTTCAAGTTACATGTTCCCATATTGCAATTCTGTTTACAGTAGTTCCCGTAACATTCCAGACTACATTCACGACCGTTGCATGTCTGGAAACATTTTCCTCCGAAACATTTTAGATTACAGCCATGTTTATTGTTGCAAGTCTGGTCGGATTGTTCTCCGTGACAATTCAGACCAAATGTTTTAGGCGCGTTGCAAGATTGTGTACAGTTTCCTCCTTTGCAATTCATATTACATTTATAATCACACCCTGAAGGGCAGCTGTGATGATGGTTACATTCGAACGTACCCCCGAACACATCACAGCTGCGTGAAAAATGTCTGTGGTCATCACGTGCAGGTACTAAATTTCTACCTGAAAAGAAATTAAGAGTGCCTGCCTGTAAAAATCAGAAAAATTCTTAATTTCCCGGCAAGGGTCGAAAATTCGATTTCGCTCATGTTTTTATGGTAGATAGGCTAGGGCATGACAAAAACTACTGGGTAGCTTTTTTGGCAAAATAGCCTTTTATTTCAAAGAAATATGCAAATTACCAAATCCCATTAAAATCGTCCTTTGACGCACCATTTTATTAAACAAGTTTGAGAGCCTCGCATGCAAAACCACACCATTCTGCCGTCTTTAAAACACTCAAATATTTTTGTGCAATGTTTAAATGTGTACTGGGTTGATTTTACGGATTGTTGCGTTGTCTTTTTGGGTGCAAAATAATTAAATTTCGAAGACATGTATTTCATTCACTTAAAAGCACTTCGTGAATATAATTGATTTTCACCATGTGTGAAACCTTCAAATGGATTAAGCTTCTGGTGGTTGAATTGCAAAAGGATGGTCTACAGATTCTTGTAAAAATTTCTTTGGGCAAATGATTGTGAGCGACGCGAGAGGTTTTTAAAGTACGTTAAAAATGCAAATATTTGACCATCCGTCGTCAAATTTCAATTTACGGATTAAACGCATATTTTTGCATGAGCCACATGACTTGACCTATATTAAGCTAAAATAGACACAGAGCTGATAGTTTCGAAATGTTGTAACCTTATTTGCTTTAAAAGGCAGGTCCAAAAAGCCGACTTGACGTGTTTATCTCACCATTCGTCGGACATAAAGCAGTAAAGTTTGCTTCTGTTTTCACAACGTCCGATGTACATCGCCTACTGTCAACCTATTATTGGTATTTGGCGTATTTTGTTTGCTTAGTGGCTAGACATTGGTATGTGCGTAACAGAAAATAGAGGACTGTTGTTCTTTTAAAAGCTTTATTAAATCCATTTTGAAATCACTGGTTATCCTTGCAATCTGATTGGCTCTCAATGGTGCGATTTATTCACGAATCGCACTATTTTTTGCTCTAAATCGCATCTTTTTCTCAGCCATTGAGAATGGGACAGTAAAACAAAACAACAAATTAGATTTCACTATTAGTTTAAAGTAAACAATAAAATTTCAGGAAAATGAAAGGCAAAAAGCCATTGTGTGGAGAATTTAGCAACTAGTATTGCCAAAACTTTGTTGTTA